CGGGTCACGCCCCAGTGACTTTATGAAGAAAAATGTTTTTAGGTAAGTCGTCACCGTCGTGTGTTTAATTGATACACAATGGTAGCCCGTACTGGATTTTACTTACAGTAAGTAATGTCGTGAGTCATGTGGTGTACTAGTGCAGCAAACTTCAGCGGGTTCCCTCAGGGCGTCTCACATGATTGATACCGTTTGACGGTTCGGCTCCCTTTTTATTTTTTTCCGTTAAAGTACAGAGTTCTTTTTGTTGTACACACAGGGTGGATCTTATGAATCGGTGATTAATTATTATTATTATACACAGCCCCTGGTTGACTCCACCCTGAAACGTTGCATTCCCTGACGCAGGATAATTTCCGTAGTCATTCTCCCCACATCGGTTAGGTCGACACGATCGTTGTGTTTCTTATCCAGACGTCTTGCCACAATCTTATGTACAGCCACGACGACCCCACGGGCGCTGAAAACATGTTCCAACCTCGCCGGAGACGGTTAAATTTAGCTCAGACTTCTTCTTAACAAAACGCACACACACGGGTTATCTTTAAATTTTAGGTGAACGTTGTGCCACAAAGTTATAATAATAGCATACACATCAACGGTGCTGATTAGATATATAACCAGATGGTGCCTTATTCCTTTTGAAGCAATGCAATTGCCGAAAATCTAAATAAACCAAAACTACACTCACGGCAACCGCTGGTAAGGTTAGGTTAGGTTAGTATGTGCTTAAAATTGTATTTTTCATAGTAGGGTTGATTGACTAAACTTTGGCTTAACCGTTTGGTCCGAGTACGTTTATTTTTTTTATGTTTACATATTATTTTAAACGTTTAGAAATGTTAAACATTTGCTCTGTCGCGACGATGAGAGATTGTCAGATAAAAGTGTCGATCGATTATTACAATAATTACAATATAATTATTACCGATAAGCTTGGGTACAATTAAAATGGTATAATTTTCGAAACGACCGACCGACCACATTATTATACTAGTATAAGGTGGTCGGTTGTTTTCCCCCCAATGGATTATGTGCATATGGCTAATGGACAATGTGCATCAATGGCGCAGTAAGTACGATTTTTTCTTCTTTATAAATGGCTCACGGTGCATTTGACGGTCTGATGACGTTATGGCAACGCGGATGTTCTATTTTAGCAACGTCCGAAACCAACCTACCCGCCCTTGCCGCCAAAAATTATTTTTAAACATCTCACTTAGGTGGTACACGCCAACCATAAACGACTTGACCGCGCACTTTCTTAGGTGGAGAAATGAGAGAACATCGGCATCGGCGGCGTCAAGGTCAATAATTTAATTTCACAACCGCGTTTGCTACACTCAGAATGTGGGTGTGATATTAAAAATAAAATTACATTAGTTTTTTTTTTAATGGTAGGCGAACGCGCACTTCCTTTCTTCCATACCGCGTAAGCGCGCCTCGCAGTGTCCTTTAAGGGTGCCTAGAAAGGGTTGGACGTACGATTATGGGGTTGAAGGGTGTTTTCTGGTTAAAACGCTAAACTCGGATTTATGACAATGAAACATTGTCCTGTGAAATGTGGACGTTTAGTGCATAGAAATATTGTATAAACCAATATGTAACACAACTGTTCTGTTGACAAAATATATGAATGCAATTAATGGTAGAAAGATTTTAAATTAAAGTCCACTTGTGCAACTTCGTATTTTTTATCACTTTTTTTTTATTAAAATAGTTCGGTTATCTTTTGTCGTGTTGTTCTCAACCTCTGATGTTCACAGTTCAATCCAACAATACCATTTATAAACTATAATAAAGACATATGGGGTTAAGACTCGATGAACATGGAAAATAGGCAACATACTATCGTATAATTTTGGGAAGCGCAGAAAAGTTTGTTATAAGTCCATATACAAGACATGGCGACTGATAGTCAATTTATTCGTTAAAGCATTTTAATTTTGTCATATTACCAATGGTTTAAAATGGGGCTAATTTAACTATTATTTAAATCACTATAGTTATTGCCACTGCTACAAGGGGATTGATTAAATAGAATTAAAAAAACTCTCTGGTCTCCAAAACCGTGTTCAAAATTAATTTGTTCACAACTCGCATAATAGAATAATAATTACAAATATTGTAATATTTCCCATCTTGACAGTTTTGAGAGAATCAGTTAAATATTTCGGTACAAAATGTTTTTAAGAAAAGAACTCTGTGTGTGTGTGAAGGGATTAAGTCAATTGTCTGGTTGGCCTTGTCACACTAATCTTGTATATGCGGGAAGAGGTTCACTCATTATGGAAATGATCAAGTAGACACTTCCGCCGTTCAAAAAGGATATGCTTTCAATCACTGTTTGGGCGCTGGACGAAACGGGCCAAGTCCATTATGAAAACCCAGTTGAACGACCTTGTACCAAAATCACCACTTCATACCTTCATTTGACAATGAACAACCGCTTGCTTTTAGCTGGTCTGAATAAAAATTTTAAAAAATGCTATCATCCAACAACTGATCTGAACATCCCTGAAATACTTATGTATGCAGCACCTATGTGTGTCTGTTTAATTATTAAGCGCTATTGTTTTAATGCCGAATGGATCTAAAAAAGATCTAATATTGTCACGATTGAAAAATAAGTACCGTTCAAAATTTAACCAAATACCAATTGTGTCGTGTAATCGCTTAATTATATTTTTATTCTGCTCGTTCGCTATTGTTTTTTTCTCGACTGTCAACGCACGTGTATTTCATTCCGTATTGAGATTGCAATAATATAGCCATCATACTAGTTCCTTAAAGGAATTTCGATGACCTTTCGGCCATTACTATTTCCCGGGAACGGTATTTCGCCATTTGTCCAGCAACCCATCCCGGTCGTCTAATCGGTACTAGTTTTCCTGTGGATTTTTTTTAACTTGTGCGTGTGACTTTAGATGTGAGTAATGTTATCAATATAATATTATACGTATACATACATTATAATAATATGATGTAGAGTGAAAGGAAATAACCAGTACCGTCGTACACTGGAAGCCTTAAACGAATCGGCTTAGAAGGAGCGGAAAACACCTGGTCGGTACGACATCCGCCATAGTAGAGGGGGAGATAGTAATAATTATTATTAGTTTAGCCGTGACCTTTTTATCCGGTCTGTCGGTGAATTAATAAGTATAAATTGCGCATTAAGATAATATAACAAACCATATAGTGTCCACAAAATAACGAAAGCTTTACGCCGGCGGTCCGGTGCACGTACGAGTGCTGTACTGGTTTTAATGTTTTATTATTATTATTTTTAATCCGCTATTATTTTAATTTTATTTTAATCCAGTCATGACGTGTGTGTCACTTGACAGAGCGTAAGTATGACGACGCCCACGTTAACGTTGAACTCGTAAACGTCTTACAGCGCATTGTTGTTTGGCTATTAGTGTAGTTTCTTGAAACAAGTTTATATTTCTGGAACTTCAGGTTTCTAGCGAACTGAGCAATTTTGGCGAATATTAAAGCTAACTGAATGTGCATAATTAATAATCGTTATCGAAACATTAACCTCTGAAAATATTTCATTAAGTTTTCAGGAACCCATTACAACCGAATTATATTATGTAAGATGTAAAACACAGTTTGTCTTCTAAAAAGCTTCCATTTAAGCCGTTTATAATGTTGTACAAAAGTAAACTGCGGTAAGGTATTGCTGTATTATACTTATTATGCTTTTGAAACATTGGAAAAAAAAAACATATCGTAAAGATAATACACATTTTTTTATAGGTACCAATAAAATAACAACAACAATAATGCGTTATTCTAATTATTGCAAAGCTAAATTATTATTGCAAACTATTAAAGTTGGTGATAAAACTAAAGTGGATAACTATGCTTAACTAGATAAAAACTCAAGTTATTGAATAGCTGTGTATGATATGGAAATATTGAAAGGAACGCTGCACTGTAATTTGGGTAACTCACTAGAGGTATGTTGTATTTATAATGTTTATGAATAAAACAGAACTCGTGTGGTAATTTTTTAACGCTAGTTGGAAGAGGCGGTTTGCGTTGTCGGTATTTTCGGGAGTATTGTTATCAGAAAAGAGGGTTGTTCGTGCACCTACATAATGTTTATTTAGGACAGGGTCTTAGATACGTGCTCAGTATATCAAAAACGAACTCTCAACGTAATGTTATATTTCGCATTTTTACAACTGTCGACATTTGCCTGTGTTAGACGTTATAATGTCTAATATAGTATATTATAATGTATACAATTTAAAAGGTTATGTAACTTGTTTTTGTATGCATTTAACCGCCGACCGTTGTTCGACGAGATAAAGTGAAATCTAACCTTTTTGACTGAGGAAATCGTTGTGCATTGTGTGTATTAAGTTTTAACACCTAGACTTCCAGTGACGATTAACCAGGATGATAGGATAAGCGGAACAAAATATTCTTTGTAGGAGCGTGCACGTGTATAAATTTGCATCCAATCCTTATTGGTTCTTATTCATTTATTATGTTAAACGGTTCAACGAAATTTATATAATTGCTCAGAATGTGTTTTGGTGGACTTGACATTTTTATCTAGATCGTCAGGAATATAGCTAGGTGTTGTTGAACGCTGCTATTACGGTGCAACTATACTTTGGAAGGTCAAAAGATCATTGTGTTGCCTCATCTGGGGTTTTCATCTTCACGTGCATCTATTAAAATCTATTGTTAAATCTGAATAGGTTCGTTCGGTTGTTTCTTATCGCCGGCATGCGGTACAACTGTTTATTCTAATTTTCCAATTGGTCGAATCACGCGATTCACCACGTTCACAACTCGCCAGAACTTCTCATTGTGCTTCAAAACAAAAATACACAGTACAATCAAACACTGCTACACACGGATTGCGCAATTCATTATTGTGGTCTTTTATATAATATATGATTCGCTTTGTTTCTGAACTGTGCTGCTGCAATGTGGGTGTCTCAAAACTAATTTCAAATTTTTGCCCCCCGTAGATATTCGCCTTCAGCTGAACGAGCACCTAAGATGCCTGGACAGCCGGGTCGAAGCTCAAGTGTCCCTGGTGTCCGAGCTTCAAGACTACTTCAGGAGGCGTGCTGAAGTCGAGATGGACTACAGCAAGAGTCTCGACAAGCTGGCCAAAAGCTTGCAACTGCGCCATAAAGAACAAAAACAAAAGTAATTATAATATACACTGTTTTTTTTTTTTTAATATAAATCGAACTCCGGTCAAACCGATTAGGTAGTTTTAAAATATCTCATTCGAATACGAACTTCCGTGGTTAGCGTCCGAACTTGGATTGGATGTAATAACAGCTAGAAAGTCTAGAGAAAAGAAACGTGTAAATTATAGCATAGCGTTGACGCGTTATGTAAATTGCCTTCTCTCGAATTAGTATTGGTAACTGTATTTGTCAGTAAGAACAAAACACATTTGCCCAGGCACGATGTGTGTATTTTTTATAATCACGTGTTCGCGTTAACAGGAAGGAATGTAAATTAACTCGTTTCACGTATAATGAAAAACCTGCGCGTTCGACATTTTTGACCTTGTGTGTATTTCTGTGTCCAGGAGAGAGCAGTGGTCGTTGTTTACTAGCTACTCGTGTTGGCAGCAATTGGTGTTGCAGACAAAGAATCTCAGCAAGGATCACGGAGCTCTGAGCGAGCTCTACTCTACACATCTAGTCAGCCGACTTTCTCAGGTCACAGAAGACGTTCAAAGGATATACAAAAGAGTAAGTATAACCTGAGTTTTTTCCACCCAGAGGCGGAGCAAAATAGAACAGAGAATGAGCAGGGAAAGTTGTGTGGCCAATAGTTCCCCCTTATTGAGTGTGATGATGAGAAAAGAATGCTAACCCAAAACAGTTGAGATAAAGGCCGAAGTGGAAGAAGAATAAGATAGTGATGTTCGTGGTGATTTATTTATGGTTATTGTCATTGTAAATGTTTATAGTGTCGGGAGATATGTTACGAAATTCACGAGGAGATACTGCGTGTGCTACACGAGTTGCACACTACCATGAAAACGTATCAATCGTATCAAACGGAAGCAAAACAAGCCGAGGCCAAACTGAAGGTGGCCGAAAACCAAAGACTGAAAATCGAGCAAGCGGTTCCTAAAGAGAAGCTCGAGAAATCTAAGAAAGTCAGGCTTATTGGAAAAGAAGTCCAAAAGGTAACGAAATTGTATCCAAGTAACGCTGATATAATAACGCCGCTAATTGTTCTAGTTTAAGGTTTAATATATATTTTTTTTCTTTATATTTTAGCGAAAAAATAAATACTTTGACGCCAAGCTTAAAGCACTGAAAGCTCGCAACGAGTACATACTGTGTCTCGAAGCCACCAACAGCACCGTGCACAAATATTTCGTCGACGACCTATCAGACCTCATGGACTGTATGGACTTTGGGTTTCATCATTGCGTCACCAAAGCCATGAAGATGCAGACTTCGGCCGAAGGCGGCCGGATACATTCCATGCAGGCCGGATTGGATGCCACTAACCTAGTCGTTTCGGCCATGGACTCGGGTGTGGACAAACAGCGATTTTTGGAATTCAATCACACCGCTTTTATGATACCCAAAAAATTCGAATTCCAAGGACAGAGAGACGAGGTAGGTGCTTGGGATATTTTGCATTTTTGTATTTTTTTAAATAATCTGTACTCTACATAATTATGCCTAATTCGTAATATCGTTCTTGTCTTAGTACGCGGAACCGGAATTGCAAAAACTGCTTTGTGCCGACATGGAAACGAGGCTGGAACAGTTAAATCAGCGTGTGACAAATTTGCACACCGAGTCGGACGAAGTGTGGAAGACATTGGCGACCGCCGAAAAGACCCTTTTGGAGATGCTCACGGCCAACGACTATGATTGCAGTACCTATTTCGGCGACAAAGCCGTGCCCACGAGTAAACCACCGGAGACGGTGACGATTAAGCTGCGAGCGGACAAACACGACACCGAGGAATTTTACTTAACCGTAAGTACGGTCTAACTTTTTGTTTATGACATAGTGTTGTAACGTTTCTGTTTTTCGCCTTAAGAAACTACGGGATTATCTGATGAGGACAAGTCGAATAGTCCGTCTGGACGCCAAGCAACAGCACATCAACGAAACGCTGACGTCTATATGCTTTAAGCGACCTCAAAACGGCAACTCGGACTCGACCCCGTCAAAACAGACACCCCAACGTCCGATCCATAAACCTATTGTCAGGAGGAAGAGAATCGGAAGGTTACAGATGAACGGACATCCGAAACTGTTTGGCGGTTCGCTCGAAGAATATTTGGACGCGACCAATCAAGAAATTCCGCTAATTATCAAAAGTTGTATTCGAGTGATCAACTTGTACGGTAGGCATATTTGATTGAAACGATCGTTTTTACCAAATACCTGTCATTGGCAATCTAACAATTTTTTTGGTGTATTCTATCACACACAGGTCTACACCATCAAGGGATTTTCCGCGTGTCCGGATCGCAAGTGGAAATAAACAACTTCAAGGACGCTTTCGAGAGGGGAGAAGATCCGCTCGCCGACATGACTGACGCTTCGGACATCAATTCCGTGGCCGGCGTATTAAAGTTGTACCTCAGGGAACTCCGGGAACCGTTGTTTCCGATCATATACTTTGATCAGTTCATGGAGCTTGCTCGTAAGTATTGTGCAAATATTCTGGAACGCGGTGTGAGTTCGATAGTTAAGAGTTTTTTTGTATTCTAGAACTGGAATCGCGACATCAGTTTGTGCTGAGGATCAAAGAGCTGGTCCAGAGTTTCCCCAACCAAGTGATCGTCATGCTGCGATACCTGTTCGCTTTTCTCAACCAGTAAGCAAAAACCATACCGTTCATCTTCTTCGAGCGTCGTCTCCAACGGGTATCGCCCAAATTTTTTACCTTCCAACTTTCTTGTTATCCCTGTAGCTTATCCGAGTTCAGTGACGAGAACATGATGGACGTGTACAACCTGGCCATCTGCTTCGGGCCGACACTGGTGCCGGTGCCCGAGGAAAAGGACCAGGTGCAATACCAGAATCTGGTCAACGATCTCATCAAGAACATCATACTCTTCCACGAGGACATTTTCCCATCGTCTACCGAGATCGGCGGGCTGGTGTATGAAAAATATATATCCAGAGAACCGGACGACGTGGACGTGGGAGATTCCCCTTCGGATCACGCGCAAGAGGACATCGACTCTGAGGTTTACCCGTCAGAAGACGGTACGTTTGTGGTTCTACGTGCCCCCGCCTTCGGTCGTCATTGTGTTGTGTACCGTGGTGATGACTATTAGCCGTGAACGGTTACCTACAAAATGACACATCGAGAATAACACGACCTTATTTGTGTGGGCAATTACACTAACCAAGTGTAACCGCCTAGTGTCGGTACGGAAAGATGGGGGGAGGGGGAGTACCTATGATTAAAAAAAACATCAATTCCTAACTACGCACAAACTCTTAACGAGTCATGAGCTATAATTTGACAAAAACTAATGGATTTAAAAATCCACCAGCCTGGGTCAATCGAATTACGTCATAGATTAGCAATATTATCATTATTTCTAGTTATTCGGTTGTGTTTACTTTTGAATCTCCAAACAAAAGAATAGTTTAATTTCGATTGAAAATACAGAGTAGACATGTAGTGACTAAAATTTGAAAACCAATATAGATATTCATATCTAATATTTTGATGTTGCATATTATTTTAGTTTCGATGCGGAGCTGAGAAGGTATTTTATTTATACAATGATGTGTTTTTATTTTTGTGATGTCTTTTAAACCGCTGAGCCGATTATCCGTGTAGAAACTCTATGAATCAGAAATCGTACCTGAAAGGTACCTTGTTGGGCCAAAATTTTTAAAAAAAATCAACCCTTCCCCAAAAAATGTACAAATTTTTCTACTTAAAATTACGATGCTCGATAACTTTTTTTAAAAATAATCGAATCAGTTCCTAATTTATATGGAATGTTCTTTAAACAGATTTAGAGGTTAAGGCCACAATATGGGTAACTATGTCAATACATTTTTTTAGACATACGATCAACCCTAATCGGGTCCACCCTAATATTACTGAAGATTAATTTTTAAGCACATAATTGTCATTAGGTACAATGCTTTTAACGATGTTTGGTATTTTTATCTGTCAACAAATCTATCTCCCTTACTTACTCATTTACTACTACTAGACCTGTGTCCTGTCCGTCCAGGACACAACCTGCCCCGACCCCACTGTACTTGCTTTTTTAAAAATATTTTTTGTGTTTATTTTTAGAATGCGAAAGCCTGGAAGCTACCGCTCAGTACGACTTTGTGGCTAGGTCCGACCGAGAAGTGAGTTTCTTGAAAGGCGCTTCGATTGCTCTGCACAACCAAGTGTCCGGAGATTGGTGGCGTGGATGTGTCAATGGCCGCGAGGGACTCATACCCGATAAATACATACTTCTCAAAATGAGGTACATAAACTGGGCCATAAGGTACACTCTAATGCAATAGGATTCTCGGTTGTACTTAAACATTTCATGTTTGAAACGAAAACAATATTCAATGTAATGGTTGTTTTTAGTGCAATTTTTACATTTCACATACTAGATTGTACTAGTATTTTAAAACTTTATACCGTGCTGAAACGAAGGACTGACTCGTGTCTCTTGTTGTTACCCATTTGAAAAGGATACGTTGAACTCGTTTGATTTGTTAAACCGATTGAAATTTCAGTGCAAATAAAAAAGGCTATAGTCAATGTTATGTTTGAACAAGCATAGTGGTGTAACGTTCCGGAACAAATATGTCGGTGTTGTCGTGGGGAAATATTCGAGACGAAAAACATAATATTATATTTACAGTGTACGTGATGAGGTTTTGGGCGGAACAAACGTTCAAACAAAGATACAAACCAAGAAATGGTATTTTTTTTCAACGATACGGTCTTCTTTCTGTGCTACTGTCCTTATTGTTGTTGCCTAGCATTTTGTATTTTTCTTATAAATAAAAAAAAAATGATAATTATAATATTAACAATAAGACGTGACTTGTCACAAGACCCATTGGACAGTTTTAATGTTAAAGAGTACTGAGAAACGGTGAAGATTCAGATGATATAACTAAAAGGCGGTTTATAAAAGTGCTAACAAAACTATTATTGTTTCAAAACAAAAACGATCATCTCGGGAGAGGCCAAAATCTAAGGGTTGGAAACGTATTTAAGAAGAAAGGAATGACGTTATCTGCTTAAGTGCACTATATTTTAATTTATGGTTAAGTTTCGTTCCAAGACTACTATTTTTGTGGTTAAGGGTTTATTTAAATATTTGATTATTTCATTCCTAAGTATGTAAAGTACAATTTTGACAACATTTCTAAACTTTAAAGCGTTTTTTCTCGAAAAACCCATTTTCCGAAAATAAATTCAACTTTTGGTCTCACAATGTTCAGAATTTCAGAAATAACCAATAAAACTTAAAAACTTGACCTTTGCGACTAAAGGTCCCTTTCCACTAACTTCCTCACAAAGAATGACTAACAAATAGACTCTATTTATTGTTACTTATTGACAAATCATTCAATTATGATTAATTATTGTTCGCGACTAACGGAATTATTCAATAATTCAACCGAATCCGTCTCAACCCGCCTGCCCCTCCCCAACATTATTGTAAACTGACTTTTTTTTTTGCCTGACAGGGACGAGGAGAGGGAGAAAACCGCGGGGGTCGAGTCGTGTTCGAAATCGATCACCTCGTCGGACGACTCGACCCGACGGCGGACTTCCAGTTCGAACGATTCCGTGCTGTCCGAGTCGGCCGCTTCCGGGTACTCGTCGCCGCCGCTCGGCGACGTACCGTGGCCGCCCAACGCAGCCGACCCTGCGGAAAAGAACGGCGGCGGATGTTGCCCGGTGGCCACGTCCTCGTCGGCCACGTCTTCGTCGTCGTGCCCGTCCTCGTCGTCCGTGTCGCCCCCGCCCACGTCCCACCGGGTCTTGATCAACGATGCGCCCGCTCACGAGGTACTTGAGACCACCGTCTGAGGTTTTTCCATACTTATATATACATAAATATAATACTATTATTATTACTTTTAAATATTTTTTATTTTATTCCTGAAGTAGTTTGAGCGGTTTTTTACTACTATTTTTTATTTTTACGAAAATTCTTCAGCATCCTGTGTATTTTTTTCGTGTAGAATAGAAAGTATATATTTACAAATATTTTTTGTTTTTAAAAATCTGTTTAAAAATTTAATTATTATTATTTTTTATACTAGATTTTTTTTCCTTTCCCCTGTGAACGGTGTGTGTGTATATATTTCTATTATATATATATATATATATATATACACATGCATAACAATATAGTATGCAGACGAGAGACGTTAACCGACAAAAACCGAAACTCGGTTAATAATATATACATATACATATACTTATTTGTAAGCATGACTACGTGGTTACGTGCAGTTGTTTTTTTAATACATACACATACATAGGTTTTTTTTTTTTTAATGGGATATGCGAGAAATGTCATGCACCATATTTTTTTTTTTTATATATAACGAGTTCGTTCTTACATATTGGCTTTAACGCAGATTTTGAGCTTTGCATTTTTTTTTAAGCGACAGACATGGCTCAAATGGCTGTCGAATGTTTTATTTTTTTATATTTTAATTTAATTTTACTTTTGCTAGTCCGCTTTATACGAATCATTTTTGTTGTACGCATCAATTATTATACATGTATTATTATAAAAAAAAAAAATAATAATAATTTATTTCAAACAAAAAACTAGGTAGTTTACAAACAGTTGTTTAATTATACCTTTTTTTTTTTGAGCGCATGACAACTTATGTGTAATTTTTGTTAACATAACTTATATATTATATTTTTTTAGATTGTCATTTTAACGTACAAGTATATCTATATTAGCTATTATTGATTTTTACCGGCTATTTTTTTTAAATATTAATTATTATCGACTTATAGCTGTTGTTCGCGACTACTCATTATGTTTGTAGTTGTTAAACGATAAAGGATATATTATTTTTTTTTTAAGGAAATAGTTATAAAAATATTTTATATTATAATTTATACTTAGTCGTAACTTCCCTTAGTACCTAATACCTATTTAGTAGCCCCGTTGTCTTAGAGCATGCTGTGGATAATTATTATAATTATTATTATTTTTTTGCTAATGTATTTATTTGTCCTACTACCTATTCTGTTTGTGTTCACCCGACAGCTATTGTTATTGTAATACAACCAGCATGTGTGTACATTATACGTGAAAAATATAATATTCGATTTGATTTTATACAAACAATATAAACGTCCATAGATTTTTTTCAATAAAAAACGAAGCCGTGATCCTTTGAGTGCGTTAAAAAACCAACGTCGGCCAGACATCCATTGATAGTCAAACGCGGCAGAAGAGGGTTAAAAAACGCACATGGATGACTAATATGGTTGACAATATTGTAGTGAAGTCTTAAAACCTTAGTTTGCCACTTGATTCGATTGTTCAATAGGGTAGCAAAATAATTCAAATAGGACTACAATGATTACTGACCGCGAAAATTGCATTTGTTTTTTTAACTACAACTATTTTTTAAATATTCGATGTAACCACCACTGGTGTTACCTACAGAGAATGTGGTAGACTTTAATAGTAATTCAATACACGCTTATTATCTCCAAGGGTACGTCACAAAAGGAACGGAAAATCAAGAATGGCAGCTGTGTCAGTCGTCGCTGTGAAATAATGTCTCTGCATTTTCTATAAAATATGCACAGCAAGAAGAAATAACAGCTAAGGAATTGGTTTCGTTTGGGCATCGAAATCTATCCAAGTCTATCAGCACCGGTCTCCTCTGTATCCGATTATCAAACTAGATATATCTATAGTGTCTAATGTCCCTGTGGTTTATGATCTTGATTATACTTGATCAATTTTAAAAGTTTACATTTGCACGTGTGGCAGTTATACTTAATTCGTGTCATCAAAACACCATTGACCCATCAATCTGATCATGTTCACAATATTACTGGTCTAAACGCGCACAACGATCAACAAAAGGTTTTACAACATCACAATTATTACTGTGTCCTAGTTGTCAAGGCGTATCTAATTATACTTGTGGGTTAATTATACGTGACGTTGGTCGATAGCGTTCATAGTAAACATGCATGGTCTGACCTGGGATTTGTATAGAAACGTTGTTTGTCATTAGAGAATTAATTGAAACATATAGAGAATAGCATTATAATTATTTTGATTCGCATTTTAGTAAACAAAAAGTAATAGTTTTTTGCCTGAGAGTTCAATATTATTTTCTATGGCTTGTTGTTAGTATATTGTATTTTAACGTATACACCGCTGCTATAACGCGCTGTAAGTATTTTTTTGAACTTATCATTTTCTCGTTTAGTTTACCGGCTTTTATCGCATTTTGATTAGTTTTATAGATGTAGCGCTAATAGAAGCCAATAACACTGGTAATTACTATTGAAAACCTTATGGGGTCATATTCTCACAGTCAAGCGGTTTCGATTTGAAACAAACTCAATATTACATTAACAACGTACAAAAGAGAAGTATTTTAAATTATATTTTATTGGTTTTAACTTCGGTTTCTGCTTACGGTTTATTGTTAAGAATATTACGTTTTTCATTAAATTATTTACAAATATTAATACAATAATCGTCCAGTCTAACATCTATTCCAACCATGGTAAATAAAACTCCTGGAGATGGTACCTCTAATGATATTATCTTTTGATTGTAACAACTTGGTTGTTTTTTAACAATTTCAACTTTTTTTGGGATGAATGAAACCTAACTCTGTATTTATCTACACTTTTGCGTTGTAACAACATACTTAATTTTGTTTCGCCGTTTAATCCTTAACAATAATATTTGAGGTTTTATTTATTTTCTCGCATGGTTTTTTGTGTATCGCTTTTATTTTTTTTTTTTCATTTTACCTTTGATTATCCGTTAATATATCTTATTATCTATAGCTGTTGCTTTCATGAAAACTGCCGCTGTGTCAATATTTACATTATGTTATCAATATTTCATTGTGATACAATAATATATTAATAGATCTTACACCAAGTCGTATACGTTTTCAATGATATGTTGATGACAGAGCTGATTATTTTAATTAGTTTAAATGCTCGTGAGCCGGTTTCCGTGAAAGCAACTTGAAAGCACGCTTGTAATGTGTAATTTAAGCCGTTTGTGTTATAAATGTCTGTCATAATCCGGTGTTGTTTTTGTAGGTGGTCGACAGCAGCTCGGACAGTTTAGATTCCGGCAAGGGTTCAACGGCGGACGAACCTGGAGTCGGGGCGACCAATGCCGCCGACGACAAAGGATGTAAGTACCACCACCACCACCACCCTGCCGTGGCCGTAGTGGCTCGAGAACACCACCACGGCCGGTCCAAGTCGGCCGACGGAGAGGGTGGTTCGCGGAAAAAGCACTCCAAGAGCCTGAGCGTGGGCGACGACTCGTTCGACCAGAAAATCCAACTGTGGCGCAGACGGGCCGACTCGCAGGGGGCCATGGACAAGCACAATAAGAAACAACCCCAAGGCAAAGGTGGCGGCGAGAGAGCCCCCGACTTGGTGATGGACTTGCCCGTAAGGAGCGCGGCACAATCGCTGGGCGCGACCGCGGTGGTGTGCGGCGCCAAGAAGACCGCGGCCGACCCGGACAGCCCCGACATGGGCACCGCGGCCGAGAGGTTCGCCAAGCAAAACCAGTGCACGTTGAAAAAGTACAGCAAGCCTCCTCCGGTGCCGACCATCGGCGATAAACCCGAATTGCCGCCAAAACTGAACAAGCCGCCCATCAAGGCGAAACCGCAAATTTTCAAAAAACCTCCTTACCCCAATCCGCCGCCCCCGCCGACACCGGGCACCACCACCGTCAAGACGGCCAACGACTCGGACGAAGCGTTGTCACTAAATCAATGACCACCGTTGAAGTCTCCGATAACACACACCAATATATAAGAAAACAGATAGCTCACTCGGCCATAAACAAAAGAAATTTAAAAAAAAAAACAACTGATAAAGAACTCACAAATTTATTTTTATCTAATCTTATTCTCGAATCTGGGTCACGCTGATTTCATTCTAAGTAATGTGAGCTATCTGTTTTCATATAGCCCGTGACCTCTCTGCACCCCTTGAACGTTTCCGAGCAGAGAAAATTATAACCAACTCAAGTTACCTAACTACAAGTCTGACGCATATTAATTTTGCTATTAAAAAATATAACGATAACCTCTAACTTATAATAGATATATTTTGTTCCGAAAACATTACACTCAACTGATATTATCTATTAGAGTATTATAAAACCGGTTTGTCTTCAAAGTCTTGTGTTCGCTTTAGAAGTTTTAACAAAAACATCTATATATAGTCTGTCCCACGAGAAAACGGTCCCGCGCCTGTCAAAAACCCAAATAAAACTCAATTCCAGACATATCGTGTGTTTTGCGCTGAGGGTTTGGCAGTTTTTTTTTTTACTTCTATTGGAATAGTTTAAGAATATATTATATATATTCTTAAATATAATATAAGAATAATTTAATAATATAAGAATATATTATTATACCGGATGCATTTTTATTATTTATTTACCTGAACAATTATGGTTAACTTTAATAATATTATATTGTATTTTTGTAAAACAACCCATGAGACTGGCACGCATTGTCACTGTGTGTATTAATATACTTGTTGACAAAATTGCATTGGCGCTGTTTGCTTTGTAAAAGTTTTAATTATTCAGGAAATCCGTGCAAACGGTTTTAGATATAAAATAACACAATATTATAAATGTATAAAATATGATGTCGTTCATTTCTGAGCAAGTGATAATTGAATTGTCCCGTGTATGTTTAAGTGAGATTTTAAATATTTTTAATTGATGCATATTTCGCGTCGTTTATATTATTTTTTAAATTCCTTATTAAATTTGGTAAATTATAATATATAGTACAATTTGTGTGCATGTCATTCGTTTGTTAAAAACTATACATTTCTCGTTAATATAAAAATTATTTCAACTGTTATTGATAAAACATTACATAATATAGAATACTGGGTTTTTAAACTATTATATTAAATTATGTTGTCAAATGGACGTTTATTAAAAGGTCGTCATTATTATTATATTGTTCTCCAAACGCCTAAATCAAAATTAAATATTATTATAATAACTAAAAAAATCTACTTGAAATATGGCGTTTTATATAAAATACAATTTCGGTATTTCAAACTATTTTTTATGTGTAATTGTTTAACTGCAACAGAAAATTTATAGTTAAAAAATTTCAATTAACTTGTTTAATAAGACATTTTTATTATGACTGTTCTTTTAAGTTATTTTATGAAAAATAATATAATAATATTATAGTTTCCTAATCAATGCCACTACTTATTATTCATCATCAGTCATTATTATAATACAATTGTTCCAAGTTCAATATTGTTGTTCTCATTGTAAGGTATTCCACGGAGAGACACCAATTATTAACAGCATTTATTAGTATAAAATTATAACTACAATTTGAATACTCGTTACACATTCTATTATAGCGGCTTACAGTCTGTTGGCATTTTAATTAAAGCATAATAAGTTATGGCAGTATGTTTTATTTAATTTACTGGGTTTAACAGTATGGCCAAAAACAAGTATGTGAATTTGACTCGACGTATTTGTGTTGTCATTAAAGAGCACTAATATTGTTAACAGGTTTTCGTTTTTAAAAGTACAGTTTTTAGTTTTCAATTAATCCCTCTCAACTGAATATAAAATTAGTCCACCGCTAATCATTTATATTATCACTAGTGTTTATTTGTCTTAATGAATTTATTTGCCAAAATGGTTATTTAATTATATGCATTTATTATTCTATAATAATATTGATGTACAATAATTATATACATAATATATGTATAATTATTGTATTAAACATTTTATATTATGACATGTTGTATGTTATCATTACACAGTGATTAATAACAGTGATCGTGTATCGTTATAATTCTATTACATTTTACATGATAAAAATATTGTATTTTCTTAATTATATTTATTATTTAATAACTACATATTATTATGTAAAAATTGTAATAATTATAATTATTCTTATAGTATATGTATTTATGTTGTTGTGTTTTATTTATTTGTTACCTGTAGGCTTAAATAAATGCGTTTTGTTTTGTACTGAGGGAACAGGATGAAAACTATGCTACATAAATGACTTAAAAAACAAGTATCTACAATATTCTTACAGTATTCTTACATTGAAAGTATAATTGAATTTAATCATATCTTCGGCGTTGTCACTTGTCAGTGTCCAACCATAAAAATATAATTTATGGTTTATGTAGGTAAATACTATTTAATATTTATAAACAAAATATGTTTAAAAAATTATATTTAAGCGCCCCAAATATACATTTCATTATTCCTCATCCCTCTTACAATAACAGAAGCTTGTTAGAATTTTTAAATTTTTTAGGGGTAATTTAACTAAAGCAAAATGCAAAATTAGATTGGCTTAAATATACTGTGTTATTTTGTAATATATCAATTAAATAAGTCGTCGAAACTGATTGGTTGAAAAATAAATGATACCGTAGAAATGAGGTACATATATCTTCATTCTGTAAATTAAGAATTTTGGTGGTCTATTTTTTATTTATAAGAAAAAACCAATTTAATAAGTAAAAATAGGTGTTAAATTTTAAATGCAATATGTTTTGTTTTCCGCTTTGAAAAGCTGTAGCCTAAAATTTAGTAAAAATTTGGTCGGACTAAAATTAAGTTTGTGTGTGAAATATTAATTCGTTCAATAAAAAAATTCAAAATTAATTTATTGCTCTTTCCACTTAAAGAGAAGACCATTTTTCTTTATTTTTTTAAAGACGGATGTTTTGAAATTTGAATCATTTAAATACATTCCAAAAAGCATAGAATACAAAAAATACAAAATCTGTACTTAGCCATGGTCATAAAAAAATAAAAAAACTATTAGAAGTCTTAGATTTTATAAACATAACTTTTTGTGTAAAATTTAGTACAAATTAAGTTTAATTTATTAATTTATCATTATGACAATAGTTATTTTTTTAGCTAATAAGATAAAAAAATTATTTTCCATGTCAGAGGAAAATCATAAAAGAACAAGAATATTGTGCCCAAAATGACGAACCATACTTAAATAGGTACTCAATCAGTGAAAAACACAAATAAAAAAAAATTGACCAAGTTAAAATATAAAGCCAAAGAAATAAACAAGTTGAGTTTGGTTAATATTGGTTGGATAATAATAGGTTTAGCATTACCTGTTTAATAATTTGGTTTTTAGTAACTTCTTTAAAATATTTTTTTTTTTTGTGTGTTTTAATGGTCACCGATATTTTTGGATTTTATGACCAATGCAAACAAAATTAGTCGGGGTCGATAACTGACCAATAATAATAAAATTCATTGCCCATAAAATCCGCTTAACACCGTACTTACGAAAAAAGTAAGTAAAGTTGTTTTCCTCCGAATCTTCTCCGCTCATCTGATATTCGAATGGGGAACAAAAAAATAATTAAGTAGTTAGATATAAATAATACTTAAAAAAAAAAAAAAATTTTAATCAATATATATATATATAGAGTATTATAATAAAATAACAATAATAATAGGATCAAAATGACAAAGCGGCTATTGTTCTGATTTATTAAACCAGGGAGTGGGCACGGACGACGTTTATGGAAGATGATGAATTGTGTGCGTGCCAGACTTAGACTCTCGAGACGGTATCGACGAAGTAAGAGGCGGGCGGGGGGAGGGCGAACAAAAACTCTGTGAAACTTTGACACCTTAAGACTTTGGCCACCACCACCACACCGTTTCGCTGGAAAATATTGTTCTGTGCGTCACACAACCGTGGCAGCAACCACGAACACGGTATTGTTGTCTAATATTGATATGCTAATTAATTACCATCCGAGTTGCCAATCTCGGTACACCGACACCGGAGCGTTTTAGTTAAAAGTTAAGAGTTTGACGGGCCCAAGACGTCCCCACAGCTGCGCCGCGCATAAAAAGCACAGCTGCCGCCGCAGTCCTTTTGTTCTGATATTTTTGTCAACGTCTTGAGACGAGGGCGAATCTTGGGATAATCATGATGTGGTTAACAGTACTCTGTTCGGAGACCAACCACTGTTATACTATAACGGAACCGTTTACCGATTATCGTGGATTTTGGTAAAGCACAAAGTCAGTTGACTAAAAAAAAAAATGTACTATTTTCTATTTTACAATTTTTTTTTTTTTTTAAACAAGTTTTCACCGTTATTATTTAAACTGTAATACGTGATAAAAATGCGATTTAGGTTATTCTTAATGTTGATTATTTAAAAGTTCTCAACGAGAGGAATAAAAATTCATTGGCCCATGGGGGGATCGAACCCACGACCTTCGCGTTATTAGCACGACGCTCTAACCAACTGAGCTAATGGGCCAGAGTGCTTGTCGCAATGATTTTTAGTACAAATAATCTTGAAACATATACCGAGGTAGCGGTAACTTACCTAATAATACCCTTACCGTTGTACAAATGTTAATCTAGTGTTTATAAAATTATTTGTATTCAAATTTAATCGTTTTTATATTAGTAACAATAATCTATAATGACTAAATTTATTGAAACACTTGAAAAGATTGAATGAATTTTATAAATTATATACTAAATTAATAATACATTTTATTGAAAAATGTATTATTAGTTTTATAGAAACGTGTTGGTGTTGATTCCATAATCTGTAAGTTAAAATGTATAATGAACATAATATAATATGTATTGATAAGTATATAGATTATAGGCGTTCAAGTTTTTTCATACAAATGGAAAATATCATTGTTTTATTTTCTTTACTCTAATCAAACCAAAAGTGTTTCTTACGTTTTAACTAGATCAAGTTTAAAAATTTTGAAATTGGATTTGTAATGTTTAAATTAATATAACTGTATTAAAATCAGCGTTAATTGGTATAATCATAGATTAAATACATGTATATTTAATCAATGGTATAATGC